TTTGGTTACTTCAATTGGTCAATTCCGTCTGTGTATGAGGAAACCTAACTTTCGTACATTGTAATTTTATGTTAGAAGTCTTTAGAAATCCCGTAAAGGCAATCATGTATGTCTTGATCTTGATCCGGAATCTATAATTCAAACTTCTGAAATGTATTGGCAAGTTTGTCAAGGGTTCTTATCGTTTTAGAGTTTTTCTAAAGTTCTCCTCAATCCCATCTCGATTACTTATTAACGAATAAAATCGTCAGTCATGTTCTAAGCGAGATTGAGAGTATTTTCCCATGAATCGGTTAAAAAAAAGTGTCCCTTTAAAGTTCCCGCCTAAGATAATGCCCCTAATGACACCTCCAAGACAGAGAAAGTATTCTGGTACCTTTGCTAAAACATATTTTGGCGAAAGTGGGTCAAAGTTAACTTGCATTAAAAACTAGACAGACCTAACGTGATTGCGTGAACTATGCACTTACTAATCCACTAACAAACACACCTAATTTCATAATTAAATTTTGCCAGCAAAATAAATTCTCTTGGTATGTTGTGCTTCCAGAGGATTGTACCAAGTTACCGCCCGGGGTGCGAAAGTTCTGATAAACTACCCTCCTTTCCCGGCACGTGAAACTGCTGTATATTTCCAAAATTCCTAATTTAGTAAAATACCCAATCCTTTACAACATACAGTTTAACCTGAGATTAAAAAAGAATCCACAAGGGGAGTGCATGCTAGAGCGCGCATCGGAGGTTATGCCACCTTTATTATCAGCTGGTCGCGGATTTATAGGATCTACAAAAAAAAAGGTAAATACATAAAATGTTGAAAATGTTCTTCTCTTTATTTTTATATACTAGTATTTTTTACGTAAAAAGATAGTTATTGAGTTATTTTGCACACGAAATGGTCCCATTTTTTTTGGTCAAGCTGAAAAAAATATATTTCCGGGGCGAATTTTTGGAAGAAGTGTTTATAGTGTTGTTCATGACGAAAAAACGAAGCGATTGACGAATAAATTTTCCCTAGGGATTTTTTCAGCAAAAATATCACTGACGCCTGGACTACCTTATCAAGTTTCTAAAAATATGTAGAATGTATAGATACTGTTTATCCATGCATTAAATATAAACAAATATATTGCATGATAATCAGTCCAATTCTGTAACTAACAAATTTGCAATATTGCTAACTATAGCAAGATTGCTCACACAAAATTCTAGCAATATTATGAGCAATAATAACAAATTTGTCATTCTCTAACTACCAACTTGAGCAATATTGCTAATATTCCTACACTTCGTCAAATTCCTACGAACTAGTCAGAACTTAGTGACAGAGTGTTGTCACTGGGCCTAAAATTAGACGCATTAGGCCTACTGAACTCTTACCACCTAAATTCACAACTGTCTAAACTTTTTAATTGTAAGGTTAGGTTATTTTTGATTTAAGTTTAACCGATTAGGCGCGTTGTGCTTTAAAAGTGACGTGCGACTTGTAATTTGTATTTGCTCGCCATGGAAAATACAGATACCAAACAGCGTGGCGCCAGAACAACATAGGAGCAACATTCCATAATTGTGGACAATTTAGAAAACAAGTAAAAAAGTTTTCGCCCTAAGGCGATTAACTAGCGCATTTTCCAATGCCCAATGCGATTATCTTTTCTAGAAGGATCTGTTATTAAAATTTCTCTATAAATAAGAAATAAGAAATTTGGCAGTTGCGCAGTTTGCGCATGCGCACGTCTGATGTTTACAATATGCGATATGCTTATCTTTATTAGAGACAGCTATGTTTAAAATTTCAAAAAAATTTCTCTATAAAAAGGGAAGTTGACATTGCGCCGTTTAATCGTCAAGATTTTGCTTGCCTCAGATGCCAGAGTTATACGCTACCCAATGCAAAAAGAACGAACTAAATATCTTGAACTGTACGAGTAGTTAAGGCCTCGGACAGACGGACAGAGAAAGTGGCTGCAATAGCGCACCCAACTTCTTTGGAAAATGCGCTAAAAATGCCATGTTAGTTCATGAAAGAACTGCTCCAAACAAACGATATTAAAAACTACATGAATTTTGGGAAGAATTGAATCTTCAACAGCGTTTAAAAATTCGTATTTAAACCATCCACCTGCCATATTTGAACTTGCTAAGACTTAACAACAGCACTTTACCTATTGCTAGGGTCAAGCAATTGAATTGTTAAAATGTTAGGCAACATTGCTAGGTTTGTCACTACAGAATACCACTTTTAACAAATATTGCTTATCTAGCAATTACCTTCACTATTAGCAAGTTGCTAAGGTTATTTTAAGTTACAGAATTGGACTGAATATCTACCAGCCGACAGTCTGTAATCACAAACCGAAATTACATAATCATCCTTAATGTAAGTACCATTTCTACTGTAGTTTCATTAATTATTTGTGGGTGGTTAAACCACATGAAATTGTATCTACTAACTAATTTTAATCCATGAAATGTGATAAAGTAATTGTGATGCACTTTGCCATTTTTCATTAGGGCTTCTATTGGTCATTGGCAACTCAAATGCGTGCGAAAAAAGGCCTTTAAAATACATGTGTTTAAAGTTGCTAAATAATGATACCTACTTCAAGTATACATTTAAAACTGTCATCTGAGGCTGAAATAATCTTCTTAAGTCGCTTTTTGTAAATGCAGAACATTTCTTTGGCTTGTACCTTTCTTCTGTTTAAAGCTTTCACAAACGCGCATAATTTAAGGTATGCTGCAAAATCTGTTCCACTTTTTAATCGCAGCATTGTTTGAAGTTTTGAATTGATGCACCAAAAGATAGAAGATTTAAATACCTTTGACATTTCCTTCATATATGCCAGCATTATCGATGCATGTAAGACTTTGTTCGTAAGTAGCTCCCTATTCATCCACGAAATCAACTTTTTATATTCTTTATATAATATTGGGATTTTACATCTACCAACTTTTCTTTAGATTTTACGACAAACCATTTAATGGGCGGTGTAGTACCTATATTTTTCAACCGAAATCGTTTTATTGACAAAGACGGTGATTTTTATAAGCAAATGTCAAGTGACATTTCCATGGTAATCATGGAACTAGGAACAAGGTCTTATTCTGTGACTATTATAGGATAATTAGACATGTATGATTTCATTGTATTTCCCTTATTTTTAAATTATATTGCAGGTATAATAAAAAATACTATAAGAAACAGGTGTATAATTGGACTTTAATGCACGCGCAACGAGTAAAGACTTGATTATACACTTGTCTCTTAATATACTATTTACAGTACCATATTGTTAATAAATTGGGAATGAAACCCAGCTCCTAGCTTTAACCTTCCTGTGGTAAAATCCATTCGCAGCAACTTAAAAATGTTTATTATGTACCAGTAAACAAACACGGCCCGGGACGCTGCAACTGTAAAATTCTAGCAAATTTTTGTTAGGAAAGTGCTATTTTCCGCAATAATTGACTATTTCAAGATATAAATTAATTAAGTGTCATTCAAGTCATTCAAATGTAAGATTATGGAACCGGTGGTCGAAAAGTTTAGCGCAACTCACAAAACACATGAGCGCTACTCACCCCTATGAAACGGTCTCTCGTAAATATCTCAGACCGGCCCCACGTTGTTGCGACTTCACGCGCTTTTTCATTATTTGTGTTTCGTTGAAAAACCTTTCCCTGGAAGCGTTAGAAAAAAAGTAAAAGTGTTAGACTGCTTTTACACGGTGAAACAGTCTTACGAAGCGGTTAACACACGCATACTTCCCGCATACTCCCAGTCGCCAGGCGTTGGAAGACCGTGGGGGACTAATGGGCTATTGGGTCGCATGACAATACTTTACATGAGAATACTTTTCATTAGCCCGCCATACATTTAAATTTCGAATATGGAAAATGTAGTAATATCCTTACCCATTATTCGTTTTAAATTCGTCGATAATGTACTGCTAGTAAACTTTTATAATAAATGCAATATATGGCCTTGGTAGATCAAAAGGTCTGAATTATACAAAGCACACAATGACCCGTATGAATAAAAGGAAGCATATGCTTGTACTTGCAAAATTCGAAGTAAATACTCGTAAGTGTCCCTTCATACTGGTCTCTTTAGCAGCGCTGCACTGCGTCCTGTCCTGCTGCTTAGCAGCGCTTCTAAGTCGCCCAGTGTGAAGGAGCACTCACGAGCATTTACTTTGAATTTTGCTCACTTTTATTCATTTGGGCCAGTAATTACAAAGTCCATCACGAACATTCAGGGTCGATTTTCTTCATTGGCTATTTGTAAACCTGGGTGTTATTTCTGCCTTCGCATCGGTAAGTGGCGTTGCTAGGCATCCTCTGAGCATCCATACGGAGACGCTGTCGATGCTTTATTAACCAAGATGCGTCAGTTCCAATTCTGGCCGTCTTTGTATACATATAAGATGCCGGTTGGGATCGAGGAAGCGTTCCTCTGCGTAGCAAAGGAAAAAGTTTAAACTACGATCTGTTGAAAGTAGCTGTAGCCAACTTTGCGCAGCCGATGCAGGTTCCTCTTCAAAATACTGCTTTACCACGGCCTAATAAAGATGAATATTAGAAAATATAATCCTATTATTATTGTCAGCTTACCAAATACCGCAACGTTTTTTTATGAAGCCATAACCCTAACTATCAACCAACTCATATGCAAATGCAAACATGAGTGTAGAAGAATGTGCAAAACCGTTTAAAGATCGAAACAATCAGTCGCATGAGTGAAAAGATCAACATTTTCGGAAATTGGCCGCCATCTTGAATTCTGGATTTCCTGTTCAGATTTCGAGGTTCCAACATCGATATTTGTGTTCATAAATGTGTGATAAATTAGTAAAAAAAAAAAAACCTATTTGGCCAAATGTTGTCTGAACTGCCCCTAGAACTTGTTAAACCGCTGTTTTTTTTATAAAAGTGAACCAGTCTAAAGTGTATGAAGAAGATATCGGTGAGATGCCTAATCTTATCAAGTTTCTAAAAATATTTAGAATGTAGATACTGTTTTTCCATTCCTTAAATATAAACATATATATTGCATGGCAATACCTACCAGACGACAGTCTGTAATCACAATTCACAAACCGAAATTAAATAATTATCGTTAATGTAAGTATCATTCCTACTGTAGTTTACTTAATTATGTGTGGCTGGTTAAAACAAAGGAAATATACTGCTCGCCATTTGAGTGCGAGAAGCTCTGGTGCAGTTCGTTAGGAGCAGCTCATTTTGCACACATTTGAATTGACATTCACCGTAGGTAAATAACCACAAAAGTGTTTCAAGTGGTTCAATTTCGGGCGTGTCAGAGCTCGAAACTTTCTTAAAAGGAACACAGGGCATCGTGCACGGTACAGCTTGGAGCTCCTCTTTCTCTCAAATGGAAAGCAGTAATTGCATCTACTAACTAATTTTATATGAATCCATGAAAACTGATAAAATAATGGTGGCGCTCTTGCCATTTTGCATTATCGCTTCTATTGGTCATTGGCACTCTGATTAGGGCTACGTTTACAAGAGCAAAGTTTAAATAAATCTACGACTGATATCGGGTCAATCGTTTTGTACCGGTATGTTTGTTTATAGCACTTTCCAAAGTCACAAGGTTCAACCACACCAAACATTTTCTCTTTATTTATGGAAGAAAAACTAGGGGGTGTTTAATTAAACGATCTGTGAATTTCAATCATATATCTCAATTAACATTTACTAACCAGGTAATTTTTTTTAGCTCAAGCAAAAATGGCCAGTGTTCTTGTGCTGCTTATTATAGGAACGTTAACGTGTTCTTCCATTGCATTATTAGCTCTTTACTTATATTTTAAAATTTCATTTACGTTTTGGGAAAAAAGGGGAGTATACGTACCATTTAAGCCGATTTTTCCATTTGGAAACGCCAAAGACGTGCTTCTACAAAGAAAGGGACTTAGTGAGGTACTTTCTGATGCTTGCTACTCATCTCGCGCTAACGCTAAACGATTCTGTGGATTCTATTTCTTATCAAGACCTTGTTTGGCTATTGGAGATGTAGAATTAGTCCAATCCATAATGAAAACTGATTTTGAGCACTTCACGGATCGACTTTTGCATTCTGATGCGTCAGATCCTTTAAGCGAACATTTAGTTTCCATGAAAGGAAAACAGTGGAAAGATGCACGATTACAACTGTCACCCGCTTTTACGAAAATGAAAATGAAAATGATGTTTCCCACCATCTGTAAGTACACTGATGAGCTCCTAGACATACTCCACAGAAGAGAAACGAACGAAGTCGACATTCATGAACTGCTTGCTCGTGCCGCTATCGATATGTTCGGTTCTTGTGCTCTCGGACTAGAATGTTCGAGTCTAAAGGACCCGAACTCGAAGATCGCACACTGCATAAAGCAATTTTTCCACTCCTCATCGTTTCTTGATTTATTTATTAGATTAATCTCCGTAACTTGCCCGAATCTGTTGGCGAAAATGAAGCTCAGATCAATACCGAAACCAGTTGCCGACTTTTTCCTCAATACCATTACTGAAACCTTAAGGTACCGAAAGGCCAATAACGTAATTCGAAATGATTTTCTTCAATTGTTGCTGCAAATTAAAGATAATCAAGAATTTGGTAATTCGGACAACTTTCAAGGCGCCGCTTTGACCGAAACTGGAATCGTCGCACATTCGATTGTATTTTTCATAGGGGGATACGAAACCTCATCTCTTGCAATGGCATATTGCTTATATGAACTTGCTGTTAACCCAGGAATACAAGAAAAGGCAAGAGGTGAGATTAAAAAAATTGTAGAACAACAAGGATTCACCTATGATTCGGTTATGAGTATGTCTTACTTGGAGAAATGTGTGCTGGGTAAGAGAGTAATTAATAATATCATAAAATAAATCGTTCTGACAGAATCTCTGAGGAAACACTCACCCTTCTTGTTTCACCTCAGGGAGTGCACCAAAGACTACACCTTACCAGGTACTGAGATTTTAATAGAAAAGGGAACCGCTATTTTCTTAATGAATAGCGTAATTCACAAAGATCCACTCCATTACCCAAATCCGGAGGTATTTAATCCGGACAGGTTTTCAGAGGACGAAGTTACTAAAAGGCCTCCCGCAGCATTTACAGCGTTTGGATTCGGACCTAGAAGATGCATTGGTAATTTTTTTTAAATCTAACTCCTTGCCACATTTTTTTATTGAAGGTTCAAACTTTGCTACGGTGGAAACACAAACATGTCTAGCGAAACTGCTTCTAAATTACAAATTCAGCATAAACGCTAAAACAAAAATTCCCATGGTTTACAATCCTCGAACTATTATAAACGGACCTCAAGATGGTATATGTTTAAGTATAGAGAAGATTTCAGCATAAGCTTTGAACGCTTTAGATATGTTCGTTTATAGCGCCTTCGGACTACAAGCTGAGGCATATTAAATAAACTGGCGGAACCGCTTGCTTATTATTTTTAACCCTGCATTATTCGCGCTTTTTTGTACAAAATGTTTGATCTGTATGTAAATAAAACACAGAATTTCCACTGATTTATTTTGGAAAAGTATCCAACATTTGTTTAAAAAAAAACTTATATTCACTTAACAAAACTTGACCACACTTTAAAAGAATACAACGATATAACTCGCTCGATGAGAAAAACTCTCATGGTTGGGCTCATGGTGGAATTCGGCTAGCCAATACACACATACACTCAACATTCTGAATGTTCAATAATATTGATCAACAATTATAAAAAGTCACCCAGAAGCTCTGATGGGATGATGAGTTAGCTACCTTTCATAGAACCTGCAGATTAGTAAAAGCCTTGACAGAAATGCTCGTAACGCGAGTCCTGGAGAGTTAAATAGAAAACTATTTTTCTTCTTCTAGCATCATACACGAATATTGATTACACTGGAAAATTCCTTTTATACGTTTCAAAAATATTACATAATGAATAGACCGAGTTCATTTTGAACGAGTACCTGCGCGAGCGCCTTTCTTTCATCTTGGGTGAGATATCTTCCTTCTTCCGTTCTTAATGCCAGAGGTGCGGTGTCCACGATCAAAACCTCTATATTCAGTACTGGTTGTGGCAACCGGTCATGCGTGTCCCAACACATTTTGGGCAAGTCGATGATAATTCCGGCCTCTTCAATGACATCTACCTCCTGGAGTGTCTTTGTAGATGGTGCATTGGGAAAAAAATTTCTTCGCGTCAACCAGAGTGACGTCCGTTTCCGTATCGGTGAGCTGGTGGCGGTGCTGTTCCGATATCTGTTGCAGTTTGTGACTCGGTATTTGGCGGAATTTCGGGTTTTCAGATACGCTGACATCGAGATCACGGAAACTGCTTCTTCCCATTTGCGGAGCCCTTCTTGGTTACATCCTAGGGCCAACGGATTGAGAATCCTTAGCGGAGGATAGCTCTTGAACCCCAAAATAGAGGTTAGTTTTCCCAGGAACCGTAACCTGATATTATTTGAGCTCTAGGCTATTTCGGATTCTTAAGGGTCAAAAAACAACCAAAAGTCTCATATAACAGCTCCAATAGAAAATTCAAAACTTTCTTATTTGTTGAGATATAGATATGCTGTTTTCTTTTATGGGCAGAGGAAGGATTACAGCGTGCAGTGTAAGATTGGGCCACCTGGCACTTATAGTTCCGAAACAGCCCGCGCGAACACCTTAGAATCAGAGAAGTGGTTACTCAGAGAGAAGAGGGGAACCTTTTTTTCCAAATTAGCGCAATTCTGTACGTTGCGCTGTCACAAAACCCGATGTTACAAGTGGATCCACTGGCCTCCCTTCCGAATTTGATTAGAGGAATAAACAATCTTGATTTAACACCCCTGGTAACGTATAAGTGTGTACCTACAGACTGCAGAGGAATAATTTTAAATCCTCCAACAGTTTAGCAAGTCGTTTCCTATTTGAAACCATGTTCTAATACCTCCAAGGGATTAGCTAACTGCAAAAATCCAACTTACTTCTGGTTTAATAGGATTTTGAAATCTTCTTCCTATTTCATAGTCGCTAACAGATATCTCACTGCGATTTACTACAATCTGAAGTCCACTGCGCGAAATATGTCGATTTGAAATAACTAATGGCTTACTATCTGGGTCAAATGTAAATAATTGGGAAACTACTTATTTACTCACCATTAACATCAAAAATTCATTATCAACAAATTGATGTGAGCTGTATACCCAATTCTCAAATGTTACTTAAGCCTATGACACGCATGGGAAAATGTTGAAATATCAGATATTATTATATAACGCAAATACGTCAGTAATTTAAAACTGTCTAAATTTTTAACTTGGCCCAATCTTATCAATGTTCTGCAAGTACCGAAGTACATAATATGTACTGTTTTGCTTTAAATGTTAAACAAATATATTGAATTATAATACCAGAAGACAGTTTGTAACCACAAACCGAAATTACTAAATTATCGCTAATGTAAGTATATTTCCTACTGTAGCTTACTTAACTATTTGTGGCTAGTTGAAACACATGTAACTGTCTCTATTAACTAATTTTATATGCACAAAGTCCAAGAGTTAATACTATACCTGAAAATGTGATTGTTTAAGTTTTATGCCGAACCTGCAAAGAAAAAGTTATTCGAATAAAAAAATTACTTGGCTGCAATGGAGTGCAGTGTTGCCATTTTTATTATCGCTTCTATTGGTCATACCTCGCACTTTAACGATTAGGGACATGTTTACAAAAGCCAAATTTAAAGAAAATCTTCAAACTGATATGGCGCCAAACTACGCCAAAGAATTTCATTTATTTATGGAAGAAAAACTATGGGGTGTTTAATAAAACGAACGAACTGTGGAAATCAACAAAATATCTCAATTATATTTAATTTCTTTCAGCTCAAGACAAAATGATCAGTGTGCTCGAGCTTATTATTATAGGAACGTTAACGTGTTCTTCCGTTGCATTATTAGCTCTTTACTTATATTTTAAAATTTCATTTACGTATTGGGACAAAAGAGGAGTATACGTACCTTTTAAGCCGATTTTTCCATTTGGAAACGCCAAAGACGTGCTACTACAAAGAAAGGGACTTAGTGAGGTACTTTCTGATGCTTTGTACTCATCTCACGCTAACGCTAAACGATTCTGTGGATTCTATTTCTTATCAAGACCTTGTTTGGCTATTGGAGATGTGGAATTAGTCCAATCCATAATGAAAACTGATTTTGAACACTTCACGGATCGACTTTTTCATGGTGATTCATCAGATCCTCTGAGCGAACATTTAGTTTCCATGAAAGGTAAACAGTGGAAAGTTGCACGATTACAACTATCACCCGCTTTTACAAAAATTAAAATGAAGACGACGTTTCCAACCATCTGTAAGTACACTGATGAACTCCTGGACGTTCTCCACAGCGGAGAAACGAATGAGGTTGACATTCATGAATTGCTTGATCGTGCCGCTATCGATATGTTTGGCTGTTGGGCTCTTGGACTAGAATGTTCGAGTCTAAAGGACCCGAAGTCAAAGACCGCTCACTACATAAGGCAATTCTTCAACTCTTCATCGTCTCTTGATTTACTTATTAGATTAATCTCCATGACTTGGCCGAATCTATTGGCGAAGATAAAGTTCAGATCAGTACAAAAACCAGTTGCGGACTTTTTCCTCAATACCATTACAGAAACCTTAAGGTACCGAAAGGCCAATAACGTTGTTCGAAATGATTTTCTCCAACTGTTACTACAAATTAAAGATAAACAAGAAGAAGGCAGCGATTGGACCGAAACTAGAATCGTAGCACAGTCGCTTATGTTTTTCATAGCGGGGTACGAAACCTTGTCCCTTGCAATGACATATTGCTTATATGAACTCGCTGTTAACCCAGGAATACAAGAAAAGGCAAGATGTGAGATTAAAAAAATTGTAGAACAACAAGGATTCACCTATGATTCGGTTATGGGTATGTCCTACTTGGAGAAATGTGTACTGGGTAAGAGATTTGTAATTAATAATACATCATCAACTAATTCATTATTGCAGAATCTCTAAGAAAACACTCGCCCGTCCCGTTTCACCCCAGAGAGTGCACCAAAGACTACACCATACCAGGTACTGAGATTTTAATAGAAAAGGGGACCGCTGTTTTCATAATAAGTAGGGCAATTCACAATAATCCACTCCATTACCCAAATCCGGAGGTATTTCATCCAGACCGGTTTTCAGAGGATGAAGTTTCTAAAAGGTCTCCCGCAGCATTTTCAGCATTTGGATTTGGTCCTCGAAGATGCATTGGTAATTTTCTTTAAGTCTATCTCCTTTACACAATTTTTAATTGAAGGTTCCAACTTCGCCACGGTGGAAACACAAACCTGTCTAGCGAAACTGCTTCTGAATTACAAATTCAGCGTAAACGCTAAAACAAAAATTCCCATGATTTACGATCCTCGAATTGTTATAAACGTACCTCAAAATGGTATATGTTTAACTATAGAAAAGATTTCGGCATAAGCTTTGAAGGGTTGAGATCTGTTCATTTATAGCGCCTTGGTTCTACAAGCGGCGGTATATTAAATAAATTGACGGAACCACCCAATTATTATGCATATTAATGCACAATTAATACATAAGATTGTTTTTCATAAAAGCGTTTCAATTATCCTTAGTTTTGTCATTTCTTTTCAGACCAATTGTAAAACCGTACTGCTTTTGAATCTTCACAAAAAACGAATTCATGCAGAAAAGGTTTGTATAATCCATGAGGTTACCAGGTATAATGACTTTAGTATTGTAGCTACTCTTTAGGGATAAGAAACGGGATTGACCGGCTAGTCAGGGAAGAGTCGTTCTCCCAGTGAAACATAAACCTAATCTATAAATAATGAAAAAGTAAGCAGCGGAAATATAAAAATATGCTTACCTAGATTAAGGTTAGCAAAAACTCAAATCACGTTAAGACGTTTAGATAGATAATTTCCGCAATTTTAACTTCAGGATGCTTCAGGATTTCAAAAGATTTCAACAGCTTTAGTACCCGTCATTCCCACGACAAAAGCAAAAAGTGACATTTCTTCCATCCCAATGGTACCAACTTACATTCTTTATTCACACTCTGAAGGCGTATTCAGTTAGACACTCCTATGGGTACATGGGTATAATTTGGTTTATCACTTATCTTTGTACGCGGTAGAAAAAGGCAGAAGTATTAGATCAATTCCGTGTATAAACCTACATTTCGGGCTCAAGTATTATGGAACAACCATTTTTGTACAACTTAAAAAACCGAATTTTGACTACATGATAGAAAACACCATTTATGTTTGTTTCATGGGTGAACACATTTCCTATTTTATTTCATTAGTTTCCCCGAAACAACCCCCCTAAGTTCGTGTTTTTATACATTTATTATAGCAGTTGATTTCGGTAATGATATTTCGGAGTAATACCTTCACAGCTTGTGAAAGTATTCTAAAAAATAGCTTAAATAAAAGGGAAAAATAATTTTTCAATCAAATAATAAATCGATACTCCATCATTGTAAACTAAAACGACAGTAATGTAAAAGAAACCTCTAAACTTTCTGGAGCATAACGGGGAATTATCAAAATGTGTTAAAAAGTTAAAATAGGACCCATTCCCAAACTGAAAGTGTAAAACGGTCGCTAGCAGGATCATAAATTTGCGAAAATTGTAAAGGATCTAAAGATTGTACCATACGTGAGTTTTCCAAGGTGACGGATGATACTCCATTAGCATAATTAGTCTAAACTACGGTACCCTATACTTTCCTAACGGACGGAGAGACGGACAGACGACGCAAAATTATAAACTCGCAAGGAGCTCGTTAATAATTTATAATGTGTACGCTCAAAAATGTAAACAATTGGTAAATTCACAATCTAAATAAAAATTCATTATCAGTGGATATGACCTGTAAATCTAATCACTTTCCTCAAAAGTCAAATGTTACTTGAAGCTTATCATGCGTAGACAAATTTTGAAATATTATTATAACGCAAATACGCCAATAACGTTAAACTGTCATAATTTGTAACTTGAAAGAAAATCCGTCGGAGGCCCATTTTATCAAGCTTGTTTTACAAATATGTACTGTTTTCCAGTTCCTCAAATATTATTAAACAAATGTATTTAATACCAGACGACAGTTTGAAACCACAAATCGAAATTACCTAATTACTGTTAATGTAAGTATTTTTCCTACTGTAGATAACTTAATTTTATGACTATTTAAAACACATGCCATTGTATTTATTGACTAATTTTATGCAAGGGTTTATACCTGAAAATGCGATAAAGTAAATTGTTCTAGGAGTTTTGTGGCGAATCTGTAAAGAAAACTTAGCTACAATGGAATGCAGTGTGTTAGCACTTTTCATTAACGCTTCTATTAGCACTCTAACTATTAGCGCTATGTTTACAAGAGCAGGCATCTGGCCCCAATCGTGCTGTACCGATGTGTGTTATATAGCATTTTCCAAAGTCACAAACACCAAAAAAATTTCATTTACTTATAGAAACAAAAGTAGGGGCGGAATTCAATAAAATACTGCAATTGTTAATTTCCTTTCAGCTCAAGACAAAATGGCCAGTGTCCTCGAGCTGATTTTTGTCGGCACGTTAGCATGTCCTTTAGTTTTATTATTAGCTTTCTACTTATATTTTAAAATTTCATTTACGTATTGGGGCAAAAGAGGAGTATGCGTACCATTTAAGCCGATTTTTCCATTTGGAAACGCCAAAGACGTACTACTACAGAGAAAGGGACTTAGTGAGGTACTTTCAGATGTTTGCTACTCTTCTTGCGCTAACGCTAAACGATTCTGTGGATTCTATTTCTTATCAAGACCTTGTTTGGCTATTGGAGATGTAGAATTAGTCCAATCCATAATGAAAACTGATTTTGAACACTTCACGGATCGACTTTTTCATGGCGATTCATCAGATCCTCTGAGCGAACATTTAGTTTCCATGAAAGGTAAACAGTGGAAAGATGCGCGATTACAATTATCACCCGCTTTTACGAAAATTAAAATGAAAATGATGTTTCCAACCATCTGTAAGTACACTGATGAGCTACTAGACGTACTCCACAGTATAGAAACGGACGAGGTTGACATTCATGAATTGCTTGATCGTGCCGCTATCGATATGTTCGGTTGTTGTGCTCTTGGACTAGAATGTTCGAGTCTAAAGGACCCAAACTCCAAGATCGCACACTGCATAAAGCAATTTTTCAACAGCACATCGTTTCTTGATTTATTTATTAGATTAATCTCCATAACTTGGCCGAATCTATTGGCGAAGATAAAGTTCAGATCAGTACAAAAACCAGTTGCCGACTTTTTCCTCAATACCATTACAGAAACCTTAAGGTACCGAAAGGCCAATAACGTCGTTCGAAATGATTTTCTTCAATTGTTGCTACAAATTAAAGATAATCAGGAATTTGGTAATTCGAACAACTTTCAAGGCGCTGCTTTGACCGAAACTGGAATCGTCGCAAATTCGCTTATATTTTTCGTAGGGGGGTACGAAACCTCATCTCTTACAATGTCGTATTGCTTATATGAACTCGCTGTTAACCCAGGAATACAAGAAAAAGCAAGAGGCGAGATTAAAAAAATTGTAGAACAACAGGGATTCACCTATGATTCGGTTATGGGTATGTCTTACTTGGAGAAATGTGTGTTGGGTAAGATACTAATTAACAATATCATAAAATAATTCATCCTCGCAGAATCTCTAAGAAAACACTCACCCATCCCGTTTCACTCCAGAGAGTGTACCAAAGACTACACCATACCAGGCACTGCGACTGTAATAGAAAAGGGGACCGCTGTTTTCATAATGAATAGGGCAATTCACAAAGATCCACTCTATTACCCAAATCCGGAAGTATTTAATCCAGAGAGGTTTTCAGAGGACGAAGTCACTAGAAGGCTTCCCGCAGCATATACCGCGTTTGGATTAGGCCCTAGAAGATGCATTGGTAATTTTCTTAAATTCTAACCCCTTTTCACAACTTTCTTTAATTGAAGGGTCAAACTTCGCTGCGGTGGAAATACAAACATGTTTAGCAAAGCTGCTTCTGAATTACAAATTTATCGTAAACGCTAAAACAAGAATCCCCATGGTTTACGATCCTCGAATTGTTATAAACGTACCTCAAAATGGTATATGTTTAAGTATAGAAAAGATTTCAGCATAAATTTTGACTGGTTTAGATATATGTTCATTTATAGTGCCCACGAACTGAGGCATATTTAATAAATTGACGGAAACACTTGCTAAGCTTAATTATTATGCACAATTATAAGATTTCATTGTTTTTTATAAAAAAAACTATACTTATATTTGAGGTCATTTCTTTTCTGATCATTGCATACAGCATACATGTCTCAGGAAAATAACATCCCCACCTTTTCCATTATTGCGTACCAATTTTGAGCCCAATCACATACTATAGTTTTGCAGATCAATCCATTTTTTTTATAATTTGGCTTATTATTGCAAAACTTTTCCTTTGTAAGCGGTAGGAAAAAGCCAATTCCTAAAGAAAACCAAAATGTTAGGCGAATCAGCATTTTGAACTCGCAGGTATTATAAACAATCATTTTGTAATTGTGTAACCTACTACATGAGGGAAAACACCACATGCTTCATCGATCCTGTTTAATTTCATTAGTTCCCCCAAAACAACCCCTCCAAGTTCGTGTTTCTTGAACATTTTTGAACTAAATTCGGCATAAAATGTAATTTGAAAAGAGTGTAACGCTGGTTACATTTGTAGGATTGAAAATCCTAGTACATATCGAATCGAAATTTAATCACGATGGAAAATTGTCTACACTGAAAATTTTTGTTACCATCGACTAGACAAATTTATGGAAATACAGATTAGTTAGTAAAATGGAATGCAAACAAATACCAAAACATTGACATATTAAGTGTTTAGAATCAATCAATTTCGCCCATCATCTACAACCCTCCACAAATCATTATTAGCTTCATTGAACATCCAGTGCCCAAAATTGTACTACGATTTTTGTTTGGTTTTCACATGCATGATAAAATGAATATTTTATTTCCCACAATTTTGTAATCTGTCAGGGTCCCGTAGATAACTGGTCAATTGCATTTAGTCCGTCGTGCAAATAAGTTACCTATACGGTTTGACCTCATATAATCTTTAAAATCTGTTACGCGTTTAGTTTGTTGTTAAATAATAACAATTAAAATTTGTTCAGTGTCAATAGCGAACTGCAAATTCCAAACTGTTATTGAAGATTTGAATTTACTCTAACCTCCTTATTTACCTTCTTTTTCTTCGTATCCATTTCCTGGCGATGGAATTTCATCAAAAAGGGGTAAGTGCAAACATTAATTAAAAATTACAGTTCATTTAAATATACAATTTTATAATTGGATGCTTTTCTCCTAATTAAATTATTAACCCCTTAATTAACAATGAAAAAAATACGGAATATCTGCTTGATTACAAACAAATCGAAATCTAAAAATATATACATATATTTCACTCGGTTAGAAGGCTTGCGTTACTTAATATTGAAGTTAAATGGAAAATTTCTTTTTTTCTTCATACACAATTATTGATTACAGTGGAAAATTGCAAAAGGTCAAAAAATGAATAAACCAAATCTTGAAAAACTGTTTATTTACTATTCAAATGTTGAAATTCCAACTTTTTAAAATCCTTAAAGAAAACCCATTGAATCGTTCAACCAGGGGAATACTGGATCACTCGCATGAAATGGAACCGAACCTTATTGATACTGAATCCTGGTACGTAGGGGGAAGACTTGATTTTGAAATCCAAAGTAATACTAGATGTTACGTCGAATGTCAGAATGAATTTTATTCAAACGTATTAATTATACACAAAGCTGACGTCACGTTGCCGATTTTAAATGTTTTTGTGATGATGTCATCAGGAAGTTTGCCGAACGCGTTATTAATTAGGCATGAGAAATAGGATTGTGGAGTAGTTATTTAACTTTATTTTAAGATTCAGAAACCAATACTTCACTTGTATCAGGCAAAAAATTAGGAAATCGGATTTTTTAAGAAATAGAGTTTTGAATGTAAATTGTTTTTCAATACTCTACAGGGCGGTCCAAATTGGACACTTTCTTATGGAAACGCCCTTTGTTTTGAGAGATAGAAAAAAATGGACCTAGGTATCTGGGGCTCTGGATCGAAACGAAATTCAGCTATCTCTAATCGTTTGGCCGCTAGGAGGCGTTTCTCGAATTTAGTCGATTTCTTTAATGCCCCACTTTTTTATATAAAAATATAATATATAAAAAGGTTCCAAATAACCCAATTGTCATTTAAACAATCCTGCCATCTGTTGTTCGCCATGGTAACCTAGATGTCAGCAATAAAACTATTTTAATGTATAAAAAGCAATTTTGCAAATAATAGTTAATATAAATATAACAAGTGATACATCAAAATTTTGGAAATTTTACACTCGTTTGAAAAACTCCAAAATATATAGGGTCGTTGGTATGACAAAATGTAGTTTAGGGTCGTACAGACAAAACCAAACACCCTGTATAAAAACTGTGAATCACGATGAATTTTACATAAAAAGAAAGGTTTTTCCAAAATAATTATCTTTAATAATATGAGTTATTATGGCACATTAAAGAAATCGGGATGGTCAAGCATCTTTCTCTCGTGGAAGAGATGCAACTCTTGAAGCTTGGAATTCACGCAGGCACAGTGACAGCTCAAGGCAACACATACTTTTTCTCATTTGTTTTCTTTGTGGACTGAAGCGGCTCAGTTCGTAAATATTCCTCGAGGATAACAGCTATCATTATTGACTTGTGATCTACTATTATACGGAACTGTGTTGCTAGGGAGAGCCACGTCTACGAGGTAATGCAGCCTCCACATGCAGCGATATCTTATGTGAAAAACGGCAGTTCGGCACTGATAAAGAAGATGTCGACCTCTTGATGCTCCTAAAAGGATTACTGTTTCCCTCCAAAAAAGTGCGAGGGGTGGAACAGGAATCATTCATTCGAGGAGATCTCTCACTACCCCCTGGAATAGTGATGTTCCTCCACGCCTTTAGCACGTATGACCTTTTCGAGCAAGGGAAATCGAAGATGTTGTGTGCCGTTTCAAAACAGCCAGAGCTTTTTTGAGCGGCTACCAGTTTTCTCAATAACGCCACTCATGCGAGGAGGTGGCCTCTGTTGGTAACAAATGTGACAATTAAATGATTTTCTAGAGATCCCGGAAGTACTTAAAAGATGAGTGTGTAAGACATGCCATCGTTCCAGGAAATAGTACACCTATTTTCATTCTATGTCTACTGTACAGGTCGTTGAGTAGTGAAGATTAGTTTTGTTGTTAAAACTAACTACCATAAGTTAAAGAATATTTCATTTAATATTAAAAAAACGCACCAACATAACCTAATCAAGAGTTTTTATCGTTAACCATATGCCATTCTCACAATTAGTAACGACAGACTTTGGATCAATCTTTATTGGAATTTCGGTTAGACCGTTTGTTCTAAATTCGAAATTGAGCAGCAGCTTAGCTATGCACGATTTTGTTTCGGTCATACCAAATTTCATACCTAGAAAGCAAATGACTAGAAAAGTAATTAACGCAATAATTACAAACTACCGATACACATTCTTGGACCAAAACCAAATGGTATCCACGCGCAAGGATGACGTGCAGCGATACATTCGTCGGTAAATCTTTCTGGATCGAATTTTTCCGGATCCGGATAAATTTCAGGGTCCATGTGGATACCGTGAACGGGCACGAAAACGGGCGTGCCCTTTTCTATCAGCAAGTTTGTGTCTGGTAAATTATATGAGGTTGTGCATTCTCTCAAATGTGCTGGGGGTGGTGCGTATTTGCGCAGAGTTTCTGCAATGTGATTATTAAAAATACGCACCGTTCATCACCACTTACCTTTAACACATTTCTCGATGTAACCCATTTTGTTGACCACCTCGTAGCAAAACTCCTGGTTATGTTCATCTAAAATTTGTACAACTTCCCTCCGTGCCTTGGCTTGTATGTCAAGATCAAGAGACAGCTCGTATAAGCAAAAAGCAATCGTGGATGCTGAAGTGTCGTACCCAGCCATAAAAAACACAATTGAGTGTGCGGTTACGTTCGTTTCGGTTAGTAGCGGCGTACTGTCCGCATTGTCTTTTATGATCCCTACTGCATTTTCGTTTATTGCAACGTTGTTTCTGACCTGAAGAAGAAGATGCAAGAAGTCCTTCCGGATTACGTTGTTGTCTTCGCGAAATTTGATATTTTCCCCAACTACTTTTAGGAAGAAATCTCCTATGTCTTTCCTAATCGATCGTACTCTAACAAGCGAAAGGGCAGACGGGCAGAGACATGTCAGCAACATGACCAAAGAGTCCTTTAAAGACGTACTAAAAAAATTCCTCGCGTAGTATCCAAAGTCGGAATTCGGATTTTTTAAACTATTGCACTCGATACCAAACGCACAAGAACCAATGACATCAATCGAAAACCTATCGACCAAATCACGGATTTCCACCTCTGCGTGCTCGAAGGAGGATTTCTTCAAAATATCCACGAATTCATCAATATACTTGACGATGGTCGGAAACATCATGCTTGTTTTCGCGGATGTAAACGCGGGGGACAGTTTCAGTCGGCACTTCTTCCACTTTTCACCCTTTAAGGATCCCATATGCTCACTGAGAGGATCTGATTCGTGATTGTGGAAGAGTCGATCGGTAAAGTGCTCGAAATCCGTTTTCATTATCCTTTTCACCAAATCTAAGTCACAAATCACTAAGCACGGTTTTGTGAAAAAATAAAAACCACTGATTTTCTGCGATTTTTGCCTGCACTCATCGTAAATCTCTTTAAAAATATCCCGCGCTGCAGATTCTCGCTTGAGGAAGGGTTTTGAATGTCCGAAAATTAGAGCAGGTTTTGATAATGCATGTACACCCCTTTTTTCCCAGTAAGAATAGCATCGTTTGCAATACACGTAAATTAAACACAAAATAGAGAATAGTGGCAGAAACAGGTAAGCAGTTAACCGATCCATGAATGTATTGTAACTAAATCAGAGGTACTATTGGAAATAAATTAGAGATATTAATGAGCAAACTAATCGTACCGTGTAAAGGTTATCTTCGTGCACTAGTGTTTATTATTCATTTTTAATGTGGAAGAATACGTCATGAAGTTTCAGGCAAATTAAATTGGAATCTTTAGCCCGAGCATGACTTTTAGCTGCGGTTAGAAGAATTTGATTCTGGTATGCAATTCAGAATAGTAGACAGTGGCATAACTACAATGCCTCAGAGGTACGCAATGAGGACGGGCCCCGATTTAAAAGGGGCCTCGGCAAAATGTACAAAAAATTAATAATCGGAGGAAGTAATGAATAATTTGAGTAATTTAAATCTAATACAAAATTTGATATGCTCAAAAGTAGCCAGCTCAAATAGATTTAAAAGCAACTCCATTCCTGTCCCATTGGTGAAAAATAACATTTCGATGTCTCTTTGCATAAAGTACATGAAATACTGTGTTAATTATCCGGGCCAGAAGGTATCTGAAGGTCCTGGATACAGTAACCTTAGACTAAAGTTGTATTTCAAGCTTATAAAGCGCTCCTGATTTTGGTAGTTGAGTGAGTTGTTCACCAGACATTTTGGTAGCTTCATCTGGTGAACGCACCCATTGTTTAAATATTGCTGATATAAAAATTGTGACACTGCTGTAAAATGACACCATTGTATTTAAAGGTTAATGTATCTCCAGCGGTGACTCTATATACGTCAACGGGTCTAGTCGTTTGAAATTCTGAAATCAGACATCTCAGAGTGGACGAAAATACCAAAGTAGGACCTCCAAGACAAAAGCAAAAAAAAAACTTTGAACAACGATGACATAAATTGGCTAAAATTGATCAATTGCCGAAGCCTTCACAGGCAATTCCTGCAGCTAGCCCTAACCATCAAGTTTTTTTTATAAATTCCGAGTCGAGTAACGTCAGAAGATATGAGGGTGTTATCTAAAGAATTCGAATCTTCTGGGGTGTATGGATAGTGCACTTTCATTTATTTGTAAGATGGTTGACATTAGAAATCCAGTGGTTAAATTAAGCGTAAGGGAAAGGGCCCCTAAATTTTTTTGAAGACGGGCCTCTAAAATGAAGTTACGCCACGGATAGTAGATGCAAATTGGACGTAAAGCCCATCTGAAATTAATAAACAATCGATTATTACACGTCATAATTTAGCAACCATCAACTGGCAAATGAAATTGGTGAAAATTCAGAATTTGTTCCCCCTCATAGATCCAGTGCCTTTATCTTTCCTTACTTTTTCTTGCCGATTTTGGTCTGTAGAATCTAAAACTGATAGAATTTTCTAAATTTGACTACGGCATCAAAAGCTATGAACAGAAAACCGCAGTGGCAGCTGAGTTCGTGACAAAAAAGAAGGAGAATGGAAGTGGTTCAAAATAGACACGTAAATCTGCTAATAGAAATATGGTTGGAATCGGGCGATACTGAATTCAATTGATACCACTGCTGAATTCGACGACACTGATTGTGTCTGGATGCAACAATATTTCCTGTCTTATATTAAAAATCTGAGTTGGGGCATCCTTGAAAGTAATGCTGCAACAGTTACTTAATCTGTGTAAACATGATTAAAAATATACCAAAATACATACTACAAACTGATAATATTCGCGTCACAAAATTGGTGTGAGATATGATAATGGTAGATCTCGTCCAATAAAGGCAATTTTAAGATCTCTAATTGATGCGTTGAATCTTTTGAGAAATAAACAGACTTAAAACTGAACCTAATATTTCCGTTAATAATGATGAGACCTTCATGCAGAGGAATTATTTACAAAAGTCCGTAATGAGTTAAATGAAAAACAATGATAAGGTGAACGAGGTTTAATTATGGTTAAACACACTGACGTACGGAAAGAACGAGATACTAATTGCTCGTTGAATTTGCATTTTAATCGTGTTAATCGGGCTCGACAAAAAATGGGTGGTAATTATTTGAAATACAATATGTCATTAATGATAATTACCGCCCATGTTTCTTCAAGCCCAATTCACACGATTAGAACGTAAATTAAACGAGTCCAACCGTCCCTACTCTCCTATCCTTTTTTTATAGGCACCTTTTATCCCCACAACCCTCGTACAAAAATAAAAAATCACAAAAAAAGGCCTCGGCCTACTGGCAATAGCGATAAAATGGTTACCCGGACACGACCAACTATTTGAAAATGGAAATTTTCTCAAGTCCTTCCGGGTATACCTTACGAGGATTGTTCCCAGTACCGATCGGGAGTGAGGCGAAGCGGGCAAGTTTCACCCGGGCGTAATCAAGTAGATGTAAAAAAAGGTTTACTGTTATTAAAAACTTAAGAGTTCGACCTTATATCGCCCCACCAATGAGATGCTTCAAATGTTAACAATACGGACCTAAGACACTAAGATGTAAATGTATCCAGGTGTGTATCTGGGGGAAAACTATCAATGATGGTGTTTGTTAATGAGATAGGAAACTTGAACTGTAATCTCACATGTGAACAATAATGAAACACGAACTTGTTGCTTTAACGTTTAATTGTCGTCTCGCTGAGGTCCGACGCGCGTAGCGCCTCAACCCTAATATCCAGGTACAAAAACTGGTTTAAAAATGGGCGGTTTTACAGTATGCAGCAACATGCCGCCGCCCTTGAACTAACTAAGTAATGTTCAAAACAAAGATAATAATAAGATATAGATACATTGATTTTTCCTAAATATACGATACTATTTACAATGGTAAAACACTAATTTTTGTGATTGCACGTTTCACCACATTGTTGTGTAATTTCACTGAAACCACTCTTACAACTCCATCACTTCCTTTATGGAGATCCACTACTCGTGCGAGAGGCCATTGGAACGAATAAGAGTTTTCGCCCCTGACGATGACGAGATCACCTATCTTGACCTCTTCATTTTTTGTCTTCCACTTCTTTCGTGTTTGTAGTTGGTTAAGGTACTCTTTATGCCAACGTTGCCAAAAATGTTGAGTCAGCGATTGGAGGAACTGATACTGGTTGAGTCGGTTGATTGCAATACCATCTAGACTCGGCTCTGGTACAGCGGTCATTGTCCTTCCAATAAGGAAATGGCTAGGTGTCAAAGGTGTAGGATCATTGGGATCGCTGGACAAGGGACCTAATGGGCGTGAATTTAAAATTGCCTCTATTTTTGTCAAAACGGTGTAAAATTGTTCGTGTATTAGCAACGTTTCCCCTAGAATGCGTCTTAAATGGTACTTCATGCTTTTTACTCCCGCCTCCCACAGACCGCCAAAATGAGGGGAGCGCGGTGGAATAAAATGCCAATTGATTGATTCATTAGCCATTGTATTAATGATTGATGTTGAGATTGATTGTAAAAACTCTTTTAAAATTTTATTCGCACCTACGAAATTTGTCCCGTTATCCGAGAACATATTTAAAGGTTTTCCTCTGCGCGAAATAAACCTTTTCAAGCAATTTAGGAAGGTTTCGCTAGAGAGATCCGACACGACATCAAGGTGTATTGCTTTTGTGCAAAGACAAACAAATATACAAATATAACATTTCACTATTTTGCAACCTCTGGTTTTTTTATCTTTCATTTGAAAAGGACCTGCATAGTCCACGCCTGTATTGTAAAACGGCGCAAATTGTCTGACTCTAGTATCCGGTAAATTACCCATTATAGTTTGACATGGTTTAGGATTGTGCTTAAAACAAATCACACATTCACGAGACACCTTTTTTGCTAAGTTTCTACCCGATATTGGCCAGTAGTTTTGCCTAACTGCAAATAAAAGTTGTTGTGCTCCACAATGCAATAGCTGCTTGTGCTCCTTTTCCATTATCAACCTTGTTAGCTTATGAGCTTTTGGTAGAACTATTGGATGTTTTTGATTAGTATCTAATTGTGAATTTTGAAGTCTACCGCCGACTCGAATGAGCCCTTCGGAGTCAAGGAACGGGTTTAATGAAAGTAAACTACTTTTTCTGCTTAAAGGCTTGTTTTGCGATAAGCTAATGTAATCTTCCTTAAAAGATTGTTTTTGACATAGCACAGTTAGTTTAAGTAATGCTAATTCTAAATCTCGAACTGTTAAAGGACCTAATGTTTTATTAGATACGTACTGTGAGTTATGCCAGAACCTGTAGCAGTACGCGATCACACGTTGTAACTTAATTAAAACCGAATATTTTGAAAATATATCGAATTCATCTTCGACTAATGTTACGCAACTAACATGGCGTTGTTCGGGTAAAGAAATCTCTAAATTGTTGCTTCTTGTGTCTTGAATATTTTGAGAAGATATTAAAAAGGCTGGACCGTGCCACCAAATACTAGCATTCATTAGATTATTTGGAAATATTCCTCGCGAAAGAAGATCTGCAGGATTGTCGGCAGATCTTACATGGTACCAATCACCTGCATTTGAATTATTTTGAATTTCGCTTACACGATTGCCCACAAAGGTCTTCCATCTACTAGGAGAACCGTTTAACCATCCTAACACAATCGAACTGTCGGTATAATAGAATATTTTTGAAATTGTAATTCGAAGTGAAGTACGTACTTTTATCATCAGTTTCGTCAATAGAACAGCCGCACATAGTTCTAATCGAGGTAGTGAAATTTGTTTTATTGGTGCAACTCTTGACTTTCCGCACAGTATATTGCAATGGTATATATCTCCCTCCTGTAAACTTCTAACATAAATGCACGCACCATATGCTTGCTCTGAGGCATCTGCAAAGCCGTGTAATTCAATAGAAATAGAATTGGGTGCTATAACAAGTCTTGGAATGTTTAATGTATTTAGAATCGGAAATTGGTATTTCAATTTAATCCATTTAGCCGCTATTGAACTTGGTACTTCTTCGTCCCACCCCAGTTTTAAGGTCCACAACTTTTGCAATATTATTTTATTTATTATTATAACGGGTCCTAACAATCCCATCGGATCAAAGATTTGGCAAGTTATGGATAAAATAGCTCGTTTTGTAATTCGCTCGTTAAAATGTTCAGTAATTGAAAATTGAATACTATCGCTATGAGCATTCCAAAGCATGCCCAGCGTCTTGCTACTTTCGCCTTCACCTAATTGTAAAATATTAGCTTCTAACTTATCATTGACTTTGAATTGTTGATAGTTATCCTGATTGTTCGATAGCCATTGTCGTAGCTCGAAACCGTACTCTGACGTAATTGTAAAAATATCGTTTTGAATTTGAATTAAGTCGTTTAAATTATCAGCACCTGTTAATAAATCATCCATGTAGAAATCGTGTCGTATAATATTGCTAATTGTTGGATAATTGTCTTTCTTGTCAATGGCTATTTGTTGTAATGAACGCATCGCTAAGAATGGGGCAGATGACGTTCCATACGTAACGGTATTTAAATTGTAACATCTCAATGGTTCATCAGGATTTGATCTCCACCAAATTTTCTGGAAACGTCTTTGATCTGTATTTATTAAAATATTGCGATACATCTTAGAAATGTCCGCAGCAAGTACAAATTGATATTGTCTAAAACGAATTAAAATGGACGTTAAATCGTTTTGCAAATTAGGGCCTGGATATTGCACGTCATTTAATGAATAACCTGAACTTGTTTTTTGGGATGCGTCAAAAACCACGCGAACTTTTGTTGTAATGCTAGTGTTCTTTATTACAGCGTGATGTGGTAAATAATATTCAGGCGTATTTGAAATTGTATTACTATCCGATTCCGACATATGCCCTAAATTAATATAGTCTTGCATAAATTTAACGTATTCCGTTTTTAATTGTGGCTGGTATCGTAATTTCTTTTCTAATGATAAAAATCTATTCAATGCAATTTGTTTAGAGTCACCTAGTAAGTGTAAATTTTCTGTAAATGGAATGCTTACGACGAATTTACCCGACACATCACGTTTATAGGTTTCCAAAAAATGATCTTCACAATATTTTTCAGCAATGGACATACTATTATTGTTACTAGTGACATCTTCAATTCTCCAAAAGTTTATCAACATATCATCTAATTTATTTTCAATGCTAGTACAAGTAATGGACATTGGAGAAGAATTGACATTAACTTTATCGTATTTGAATTGCATATTACCACCGACTATCCAGCCAAACTTTGTATCTTGCAGTACAGGCCTACCGCCCCCTAATGTAATTTGTTTATTTATCAAGATGTCCCAAAAGACGGATGCTCCCAATAAAATATCTATTGTATTACTTTCATTGAATTTATCGTCTGCTAATTTAATGCTATCTGGTAAATTTAAATCTGCTTTATCAAAGGAACAGGAAGGAATTCTTTCTGTAATTTGTTTTATGACTAAACATTTTATCTCATTAGAATAATTGGTACACGTTGATTTAATTGTGATATTGACCTGATCGGACAAAGGTATTATTGAATGTCCGACTCCACTAATAGCAAAACGAACATTTTCCTTTATCAATTTTAATTTATTGCATAGATTGTCTGTAATAAAATTACTCTGCGACCCATTGTCAAGCAAAGCCCTGCATTTATGTAAACGACCTTGGCTATCCGTAATTAAGACTAAAGCCGTGGATAACAATACAAATGACTTAGACCTGTTTTGGAAAGAATGCATTGCAATTGTAACGTCTTCATTATTAGACGAGGTACTCGCTTCAGGTAGATTGCTATTATTGTCTAAATGCAGAAGGGTATTGTGTTTTCCATGACATTTTTTACAACATGATAATTTACAATCCTTGACGGTGTGATATGGGACCAGGCAATTTAAACATAATCCTTTTTTCTTTGAACTTGCAATTCTTGCCCTGGATGAAAGATTTAAAAATTCCGAACACTTATAAATAGCATGATCGCCACTACAATAGAAACATTCAAGTTGTTTTGCGTTATTACTGACATACACATTTGAGACATTTTTTCCCTTATAAAAGTTACTAAATTTACTATTTACATCTCGATTTACCTTTTGCTCGTGATTTTCTTTGTTCAAATTAATTTTTTCTAATAGTTTACATTTATCGCTGAGGAATGTATTCATTTCTTGCATTGTTGGAAATTCATTAGCATACTTTAGGGATTCCCAATCACGTAATGTAATTCGATCTAATTTAGAGGTAATTAAAAAGATTATGATATCGTCCCAACTTTCACTTGGCCTACCTAATACCTTCATTGTTCTCAAATTCTTTGTTATTGTATCGAAAAGTAATCGTAGCTCGCTATGTGATTCTTTAGTCATTTTAGGAATATCAAAAATTCCCTTTAACAAATTGTGTACAATTAATTTTTTATTTTCAAAACGATCTGTTAAAACGTTCCAAGCGACATTGTAATTGCTAGCACAAACTTCAATTGATTCAATGAGACGTGATGCCTCACCTTCCAAAGATGATTTTAAATATAAAAACTTTTGAATATCTGATATTTCTGTACTCTCGTGAATGATTGATTTGAAAGCATCATGAAATTCTAACCAATTGTCGTAATTACCCTTAAAAGTAGGCAATTTAATAGTGGGCAGTTTAACGGATCTTGGATTTTCGAAGTTTGTATTAGATGAATTACCAACATGAGATAAATTGCCATTCTGATTGCTATAGTGATTTGCTATTGCGTTTTTAACCTTTGAAATTATTGAATAATAATTGGATTCGAATTGTGTTCGTTCCTCTAGTTCACCCTCAATTTGCTCTGGATCATTATAACATGCTGTTTCAATGGCAGTTTGCAATTCATTGAATGTGTCCCATAACGGTTCACATTTTCCTAGCCTCAGCTGCAATTCGCTTACGACCTCACTTGAAATATTGATTTTGATTGCATCATTGAAATACAATTGAAGACGCTTTATTTGAGCATGTAGCGTATTTCGCTGTTGTCGTAGGGTATCTAATTTAACCATTGTTAAAGATATTGAAATAATGAGAATATAATATTGAATTGTACAAAAAATAGAAGGCAATGTTAATGTAATGAAAGGTATAAAGGAAACTTACAGATATTGGAAATCGACTACCGCACTGCAGACTGCTGTGTTAATTGTAGATATTGTAGATGTTGACTGCCATCTCGTTACTCGTCAGTTTTCTTCGGTTTATTGTCTCGAACAGATAGCTGCAATCGCCGCATTGGACCCAAAGGTGGATACTGCAATGGTCGTTGTCTTCGCCATCTATCACTTGTACTCACTTGTATTAATCCGGCTCGAAGGACCAAAATGTTAATGAGATAGGAAACTTGAACTGTAATCTCACATGTGAACAATAATGAAACACGAACTTGTTGCTTTAACGTTTAATTGTCGTCTCCCTGAGGTCCGACGCGCGTAGCGCCTCAACCCTAATATCCAGGTACAAAAACTGGTTTAAAAATGGGCGGGTTTACAGTATGCAGCAACAGTGTTCCATGACAAAAAAACAATAAATAGAGTGCCCCAAATGCAAACTCTAGAGCATGTGAAGTATACAAAAAGGAGAAAATCCAAGAAATAAAAGTTACTCATAAGGTGTCATATTTAAGAGCAAGACTTATGATAAATAATACCGGAAGCATCAATACCAGTTGTTGCAGTCCTTAATGAACCACCAGTGTACAATGAATAGGTCCATTACCCGGAGAAATTTGATGAATTGAAAATAGTAAGACAGGTTTTTTTTAATGAATATGGGTTTTCCCATACACCCATGTTGCAAATGTTCCTCCTCTCAGCAATGATGAGGAACATCCGGAACATTTATACAGGATGCCCATTATGAATGGAATATAATATATATCTCGGTAAATATCGAATGTATACAACATTTTTCTACGTCTAAGTTATTAAATATTTTATTTCCCATAATAAGGCAGCATTCAGTTGTTTTTATTCCAGAAAACAAATGAGTAACGAAAAACAATTGAATTTTTTTAAATGGCAGTGCACCTTGTCATTTTATTATAATCACATCAATAACTTAATCTAGGTATCATACATCAAAATAAAATAAATGAACGTGCAAGTTTCTTATTAAACCGTGAAGACAAAATGAAATTAGCAATAAAATGATAACAAAAGTACATATTATATAGTACCTATTAAATAAGAAGCTCAAAAAAAGAGAAAGTAAATGTTGATGATTTGAAATTTGGAAATTTGTCAAACAATGATTTCAGCATTCAATTCTACAGAAAAAATACAAAAAAAACTTATTATTTCGTTGTTTGAATAGACACTTTCTTTCTTTATAGTGTTATCATAAACATTTAGGTCTCATAAATATAATAAGAAAAATCACAATATTTTCCAATATTTTGCGCATTTTGCAAATTTATTTGTAAAAAGGTAGCTTTCAATCTCACTTTGGCAGGCTGGCTGGCTGGCTGGCAGCAAACGCTTGTAGAAAGGTGCTCACGTGTACCTACCGGAACCGTATAATGTGGTAGTCCCGCACAAGATTTTATTTTTTTATTTTAGGCCTTCATTTTTGACTTTTGAGTGGGCGGGGTTTTTCAGCCTAGGCTGCCAACCCAACCCAACCCACTGTACATTTACTTAGTACCGCAGTCGAGCTTTAACTCAACTGCGCCACTCGGGCCTAATCTCACTGATGGTAGGTCAAAAGTCAAACGCGAGTTTTGGGTCAACGGGACGTCGGACATGGGTACCGACAAAGAGAATGTGGTTGCCTCCGACAAGATCTTACTGATGGTGGAGTCAAAACTGGTAAATATAGAATACTGATCTGCCACACAAAAGTGCGCTGAGGTCCTTTCGATCTCACACGAGGATTTTGATAATTTTTTCTATTCGAAACAAATAGCTCACTTAGGTTTCATAATTGTTGGTAGATGTATATCAAATTAGGTATGTAAAAACCAATTTGTTTTTAAATTATTTTTTTATTCTGGAGAATATTCACAATATTTACAAAATAGAATAGAAAAGTAACATCACTCTAATCTTGCTTTTTTCATCATTCTCAAATTGTTCTTGTTCTTCAAGCTCTTCTTCGTACACTGAATTCCTCAGGTAATGGACGTTCTGCATCTAAAGAAAGTCCAGGATACACCATTTCACAAGAAGTGTCTACAAATTCATTTTTACCAAGGATATTACGTGCACAATTTTAAATTTCTAATAATAATATAACAATAATAATAATTTCCATAATACTATCAAGGAACAAACTTTCTGTTCAAACAATGAAATGCATGTTTCTTTTGTATTTTTTCCCGTAGAATCGAAAGCTGAAATCAAAGTTGGAAAAATTTCCAAAATTTAAACAAATTATCAACATTTACTATAAAATTCAATGTTACTGAAGTCATTTTTGAAGTTTTTTCGTTTATTGAACTTCTTCAAAAGGAACTATCATTTTTTTAAATTTAATCTAAAAGCATAGAAAAGGAAGGATGAAGGACAATTTTCATTAAAAAAAAAAGTTTTTAGTCGAAAAAAATGAATATTCGGAAATCGCTTATTTATTAATTCTTATATCTATATCTTATTAATTTTTTATATTGAAAAAAATGTGTAGTTATTTGAATCATAAAATAAGTATACCTATTTGAACCAAGTCTCGTTAAAAGAAAATCGTTTTTGCAGAAATGAACAATAAGAACGGTTTTCCGCAATTTTTTCGGTTATTTTGAGATTACGTGGGAAAGTGACAGAAAAGAAAGCTGTAGAGTTTTTCACGATCTACATAATATTTTCTATTGTACACCTTTGTCTCTGATTTCAACTTTTGCCGGAATTTGCCGTCATATGATTTTCGCCCCTCTCCCCAAACACTTAGTCCTCTCACGTATTTATTTTTTTTTTGTATTTGTATAGACCATTTTAATATATCCACTTGACAAAACTCCATTAACAATTTTCTTTTTTTCGGGGCGTTTTAGAATCGCTTGTAAAAAATTTTCTATTATACCGATTTTGTTTGTTTTTTGTTTCATCGACGCAGAATTTTGTTTCCTTTAATTTACTAAAGAAATGTTATTCATAAAATATGGACCGTTTTTGAATTTTAAGCGAAAAACTGAAAAAATGCCAAACATTTTGAGGTTTTCTGGCTGCCAAAAGTTGTGCCGGGAAAAAATTTGTATGCACTCTTCAGATACATGTTATTTGGGCCCAAATGGACCATTTAAAATAATAAAATCTTTTACACCACCTTTTGCAGGTCAAAATTATCTGCATAATGGACTACTAAGCAGCGCTGTTTGCTAATTTGTTTATTAAAATTAGTATGGGGAAGGTTTTGTGTTTTGTGGGTAGGTATCTAATATACACTACCCCATTTTGAGTCTCATCACACCACGGATATCTCCGATTCTATAAGTCTAAGACTGAATGTGTATGTGTCTAAAAAAAATAATAAGTGATTCTGGACTTGGTCTAATACATATCAATCTTAACATAGATATTTAGATTGGATCGACCCAAAAAGCTTGGTTCGAGATAGCGGTCTACTTACACTCATTGCTTTATTAAAATTTTCCATTAATGTTCACTCTAATGGTCCTGAACCCTGACGAACTATTTAGAAATGGGAAATGCCATTTTGGCTATAAAATTATATTTGTTGCTTTACGTAGGTACCCATACTTTCATCCGGCTTTATGGTTCAGTGGTAGAGCGTTGGACTATAAATCCGCAGGTCGGGTGTTCGAACCTGGGTTGATGTGAATTTGTCATCTGTGGCAGAGAGTTGGAATTACCTTAGACCAGTTTCGAGCATTCTGCCGGCTACTGCGAATTAGGTTTTCCTGCAGTTTTCCTAATTCGTAAACTAAATACCGGAGTAGTATAGAACAACTTAAGACTTCTTCAGAGGCACCTCTAAAAAAGCATTATGTGGATCACTCTGTAATTGGGTGCAAGCCTGTTGAGGGCCCAGAACAAGAGAGGGATAATAAATAAATAAATAAATTTTTGAAAGTATTTGATAGATTTTGCAAACATTTGAACTGAGAGGCAACAGAGACAAAAAATTCAATCGCCGAATTACCCTTTTGGCATCCCAACGCTATTTTCTATAGTATTGTGCTCTGTAAAATTGGTGCGGTTCCAGCCGCCTCACTGCCTGCCAATTTTTTCTCTGACCTTGTTCTAAGACTATTGACTTAATCATTTCTTCGACCCCATGTCATAGCTAAATTTGACGCGCGAATTGAAAAAATAAAATAAATGCATTTCCATTCTTCAATGTATTATGAACATTTCCGTACAACTTCGAAAGGATGTAACGAGTTAGGAGTTACCTTTACAAATTTACAGTGTTTTACTGATTAGAGCTCAATGGTAACTAATAAGGCGCCAAAATCTGGTAGAGCACCAAAACCTGATCCGGCACCGCTTCGAAAAATACTTAGTTACGCCACTGGTCATCAAATTGGATGTTACATAAGCTGTGTTTCGGTGATTGGGCACGCCTCACCTCGGATCTCGCACAATAATTAACACAGCCATAACTGCCTGACTGTCACGGATCAGTTTATATTCTTTGAGTGAATTGTCTGCAAACTGTTCATCCTGTTTCGACAAAACATTCACTTAACGTGTCCCATACTCCAAATTCTCTTGAACATTCCATTTCTTGTTTCGGATGACATTGTGGTGCCGTTATGTGGGAAAATATTTCATATTTTACTGGTAATTACTGACATTCGTAACTAATGCAAAAATTACTATATGCGATGAAGTCGGTTTGAACAATTTCCCATGGTAAATTTATCCCCAGGAATCTGTGGTCTCCGAAAATTTCACTACGGACAATTCATCTTCAAAACATTTGACAACAAAACGTTCAATACGAATAGGTGGAGTTCACTAAATATTTCCACCTAATAAACTCATCCCTAAAAAACTCGTTCGCCGTTCGCGGTCATTATTCCTCTCACCCTCATTTAAATTGACGAATA